CCAATGAGATTTTTAGAAAGCTAAAACTGAGAAAGGCCTTAGAGATGAATTAATCCAATGGTGCCAAACTCAAATGGAAACAGGGGTCACTAAACAGCACTGAAGCGGCCCCTCAGGCCACATATTAATTTAGAAAGCAATAGAGCAATATTACCTGCTTTATTGTGGTTTTATTTATTTTATTCTACATTTCCCAATTACTTTTTAATCTGGTTTGGGCCATACTTAGAAGTATTGTGGGACACATGGTTGACCCTTCTGATCTAATCCAATTCTGTCATTTTCTACATGAGTAAAGAGAAGTTCTCAAAGGGGTAGGAAGTATGAAAGAAAAGATCTGAAGTGAGTTCTCTGACTCAGAATTCAAGGCTCTTTCCACAATAGCTTGGGAACCTGGGGCTCTAAGGCAGAAGGAGTTGGGGCTCCATTACCAGTGAATTGACTCAACCTCCCTGCTTTCACTTTCAGACAATCAAATCCTGATTTACCTGGGAAAATTCCTCTTAGGAATAGTTTTTGTGTTCTTATGTGGACACTATATACTTTCTCACATACTCAGGCTATGCCTTCTAGGGACTAGTCTTTAACAGTAGAGTGATTAAAGCTGCTTCTGAAAAGTCTAACCTCATATCCTAACCTTTGTAAATAGGAAGGAGCATGGGTTCAAACCACACTGGTACCTCCTCCCAGATCCTCCTTTCCTCAGTAGTCTCTGGGGTGGGAGGTGAAGGAATCATGGTAGGTCTGTGGTATGCCAGAATTCGATCAGAGACCTTGGCCAGATCAACTCACTCTGACAACTCAAATATAAGCAAATTCCCTTTATGTCACAATCTAATCAGGAATTAGCTTTGCAAGACTCTTCAGGGAGACAATATGGTATACTGAATAAAAAAATTGGCCTAAGGATCAAGAAGAACTGGGTTCAAATTCTGTGCCCAACATACTGGCAGTGTGGCTCTAGGAGAGTCACCCAACTTCTAAGTGCCCCCACTCAACTCTAAGTTGCAGATTTAGTTGCTGACTCATATTTCTAGTTCTCTTACTCGGAGTACCCTACTCCAATTAGATCACACATCTAAACTGATGTGATAGATGTGTAGACAAACAGATGATAGGCATTGTTGCTGTTGTTTGATGTGTCACGTCAGTCATGTCCAACTCTTTGTGACCCCATTTAGAATTTTCTTGGCAAAGATACTGAAGTAATTTGCCATTTGCTTCTCCACCTCTTTCTATACATGAGGAAACTAAGTCAAACAGGGTTACAGAGAAACAGATTGTAAGTGTCTGAAGCTGGATTTGAACTCATGAAAATGATAGGTAGATAGTAACATAAACATGCACACACACACACACACACGTGCCCACGCATGTATGTGTGTGTGTGTGCGTATGTGTGTGTAATAGGGGCTATTGACACCTCCCACACCCTACTCCTCCCAAAGGAAAATGCTCAAAGTTGCCATTCCTTATGAGTGAACACCAGGCAGGAAACACAAACTCAGGGAAAATTGCTTAAAGTAATTTTTAGTTAATCTTTAGGTCTACCCCCCCTAAAAAAAGGTGGGGGTAATAAATGCACAATGTACAATATGAATGTGCCAAAGGACAGGTAATTATTCTTATACACAAAAAGAATGTGAAATACAGAATACTTATAAGTATGCATTCATACACACACACAAGAGCACACCCGCGTGTGCGCCAAATAAACAAACAATGGAATTCAGAAACTTAATTTGTAGACCTAACTTTAAATTTTCAACAGCCATTATACTATGCAATAAGGACTTCCTAATCATATATCCAACACAATGGAGGACCAGTCACTTCTTCCAGGGTTCACTGATTCTCAAAAACTCCCCAAAGAGAAATGTACTACAGGAAGAGAATCTTTATTACTGTCTCCATACTAAACTCTTCCCAATGCCTTCCTTTATAGAGGACAGAAACTGGCTTTTTGGCTCACTCTGCTTTTTGTACTACTCTGCCTGCTCTCAACATCATTGACTTAGGAAGCCTAAAAAGGTAATATGCTTATGAATAAAAAGCAGAAAACATTAATCCTTAAGGTGCTTGCCCAACATTCATTCTGGCAGAGCACACACTGGGATTCATACATTCTTTTTACTGCTGCTGCTGTGATTTCCACTAGCACATCCTGCTCCTACCTTCACCCTAAAAATCTGTAGCAAAAAACAATAAACCTCAAATCTCACAACCTGCTTTTGGAAAAGGAAGAGATGTAGAAAGACAAGAGTGCCCTCTGCCTGAAGGGGTAGGGCTCAGCCAAAAAGTTAAAGAACAGAAAGGACCTGGAAGGTCCACTAGTGTGTGTTTTTGTTTAGGGGGCTAAGGTTTGTACCAGTTCTGAAAGAAAAAGACTAGGATTCAGCGAGGGGCAATCTTATCCCTGGAGAAATTTCTTAGATGAGGGAATGAGGCCAGTGAAAAGTGAATTCCCTGTTCAATATGAGGAGTCCAGTCTTCATTTTGAAAATGGCTATCTATTCCAAAAGTACTATGATAGTTACAAGCGACAGCCACCAGTTCTCTGACATCCATTTATCTCTGGCTGTCAATGGCATATACTAGCCTTCAAAATAACAAGGTTATCTACCACCCTGGATACATCCACCTTTATAATACTCATTCCACTATAATAAAGAACAAAGAGACATAAAGCAGGAAGAGTGACCAAGGTTTTGGGCAAGAGCTTATTTACTGGTGGGCTCCTAGCAGTAGGTGCTATTTGCCAATTTTTCTAGGAATAAGGGGGAAATCTGGACAAAAGCTTGGAGGTAGAGGATAATACAAAATATTGTGTATGTAGTCATAATGTCACAGGATCATAGATTTAGAGTCTGACTGAATGAAAGGAAGGAGGAAGAGAACAGGATATAAGAAATCAAACACTGAAATATTCCCTTTCAGCCCCCCAGTTCATCAACACAGGTTCCTTTTCCACTGAAGCAGAGAACAAAACCACAAAGGTCCCACTGAGTAGCAGTTCTTTCCCTACAACTTGATGAAAAAGAGGAAGGAAGTTATTACTCTTTTCTTGCCATTTGAAAGGTGAAGGAAAAAGAAAGGATCCTCTGGCTACAGTGACAGAAAACCTGGACTTGGGCAGCTGGTGTCTTTCTTTTCCTCATCAGCCACTCTTAACACTGGCTGTGGGACCAAGGATGGAGCCGACGTGCTCAAGTCATGGCAGTACCTCCCAGATACCAGTAAAACCGGAATTGCTTGATTATCCCTTTCTTTCCATATGGCGTACCAGAATGGACCATTCTTATAGGTCCCACAGATACACTCAGAACTGGCTTCAGAGAACATCTTAAAGGCCAGAAATGTGTCCAGAATACTTCGACTTGGATGGACTTGTTACCAATGAAGTTCTTTTATATTCTTCACCCTTACACATTTTAAAGCATTTAATTTTCTTCTCTGCTTAGTATCGATATTTAGCCTCCCCAGACCGTAGTTTCCTCATTTGCATAATTAAATATTTAACATTATTTGCCTATAAAATCCTTCCTAGCCCTCACTTTAGGATACTATAAACATCAAAAGATAACTCCTATTTAAACATCCCTGATGGGCTTCCCAAGATAAATGAGGGGTTTTTTTTCATTTTATAATTTTTTAAAAATATTTTCTCACCTTAATCCTTTTTTTACATTTTTATCTTTAGTTATAAATTCTCTCCCTCTCTCTACCCCCTACCCATTGAGAAGTCATGCAAAATATATTTCCATATTAGCCATGTTGGAAAAATTAAAAAGCTAGGAAAAATAAGAAAAGTTTAAAAATATGCTTCAATCTGCACTCTGTGTTCATCAGTCCTCTTTCTGGGGGTGAATAGCACTATTTATCATGAGTCCTTTGGAATATTCTAATGATGATCAACTGTGAAAGACTTAACTTCTCACTTTACATTAATTCAAAAATTAAACTTCTCTTATATATGCTTGCACCCAAGAATAACTTACCTAGAAAAATTGAATACTAATAATACAGGATTTTTAGAAATATGAGTTCAGTGAAATAGAAGACTTTTAATAACACCTAATGAAAGGACCAGAGTTGAGCATAAACTTGAAATTCAAATTAAGAGACAAGAGAAATATAAAATGGTTAATATGAATGAGCAATCACAAGAGATTTAACAAGGTTGAACTTTTTATATTCTAATAAGAAGAGATTATACACATATCCCCTCAGAACCCTAATATCATCAGGTATCATACAGGGAGAATCATATTCAATAAAGCACCACTGAAGAATCTATCAAAATTAATTGGAAACAAATATTTTAATCCTAAAAAATAGGTAAATAAAAAAAGGAAATTATAGAAATAGTAGGGAATTCTCTTATATATAATGATATCATTAAGACAAAATATCAGGTTTTAGGGGATGCAGGCAAAGAAGTCTTAAGGGCAAAATCTATATCTCGAAATACTTTCATGAATAAAAGAGAGAAAGAACAGATAAACAAATGGTGAATGCAACTAAAAATAGAAAGCCAAAAAATTTAAATCTCATATTAACCATCAAAATAGATATCTTTAACATCAAAGAAACAATTAGTAGTATTTAAAAGAAAAAATAAATTAACAAACTAAGTTTTTTAAACAATTAGCAAATTTGATTTTAAAATAAAGAAAAATATCAAAAAGTGAAAATTATAAATGCACAACAAATAAAAAGAAATGAGAATGTTAGAAACTATTTTGTTCAATAGTATGCCAATAAAACTTGTCATCTAAATGAAGTAGACTAATACATACAATGTCCAAATTAATAGAACAAGAAATAAATAATTTTAATTAACACAACACCGGGGGAAAAGAAATTGAAAGTGGAGTATTGATGTCCTTCAAATGGAAAAAAAATAAACATTTGGATTCACAAGCACATTCTATAAATATTTAAAGCAAACTGTAATTCTAAAATTATACAAATTGCTTGAAAAAATGGGAAAAGAACATGTCCTATCAAATTGTTCCTGTGATATAAATATCAATGTAAAATGTCAATCAGGGATAGTTAAAACAGAGAAATAAAATCATAAACCAATATCCCTAATGAATATTTGATGAAAAAAATATAAATACAATCTTAGCAAAAAGACTATAACTATAAATTACAAAGATTATATACTATAACCAGGTTGTATTTATAGCAGAATTGCAGGGTTGGTTCACAATTAGAAAAGTTATCGAGTCCTACCACCATAGCACTATGTTAAAGGTCATGCTGATTTGTACCTGAAAGCAAATGATCATTGTAAAATTAATCAATCAATATTAAATAATTAACATTAATGAAGAACTATAATGGAGCATGCTAGACTTCAGCCCTTCATCCTCCAGGAATGACTACTCCCCACAATCTAACCGATCCAATTGGTACCACGGATTTATTTATTTTTTTACAATATTAGCATTATCAAGGATTATGAAGCCTTTTGGATGACAGACTGAAAAAATAACCTCGTCTGATTGCCTCTCCACACCCCAGGCCTCATAAAGGCACTTAACTTTCTTCTTCTGTGACTCATTTCCTCTCAACCCATTGCCATAATAGCAAGCAAAGATTTCACCTGAGGAAGAGATGTTGATACAACTCACCACTCTCAGGTTTCTACAATGACGTTTGTGGACAATTCCTACTGACAGCGCGCACCTGAACCCTGACTAGTGAACAAAAGAGACATTAAAACTCAGTTGAATTTAGTTCAAACATTTGTTGAAAATGCGAAGTAAACACATAATACTTATATAACATTCCACTTAACACAGTCAATCTCGCTGTTCCACCAATGCATGTAGTGTTCACACAGAAAGTGGGCACACACTTCAAATCCTAGGGTAGTAAGAGATGCATGAAAGGACTAGATGAGTCCAGGGCAGGTTACAATCAAGGGAACTGTAGACTTCAATATCTTATTTCTGTTTCAGGAACTGCTTATTTTTAACAGGAGGAGTGGTCCTTCTTGAGAATATCTTCTGAGTTCAAACAACTGTTCCACTTCTAATTTGAACTGATGCATGTTGTGCTAGACAAAAACAGCAAAGAGTATGGCATTTCAGATGGAGAAGTGGATTCAATAGGCTGCTTCTCTGATGATTCATTTTTTTTTAAATATAGCTTCTCTCCTAAACTGGATTTGCTTCTCTGCAGCAATAATACAATAATATCTGTCATTTCTAGTTTTGACTTAGTAGGTGCCTTCTAATGAAAGAATGGTTATATTCTTTTCAGGAAAAAAATCAGTGACCCTTATCTCAAGACTGACATAAATCATCCCAACTATGTTTCTTTGCAAAATTCTTCTTCTTCTCCACTTGTCAGCAATAACAGGCAATAATGCAAAGATGCATCTTCTTCCTCCTATTCTTTCCTGTCCTTTCCTTACCTGTCCTCTTTTCTTTCCTTTCCTTTTTTCTCTCCTCTCCTCTTCCTTCTCAGCAAGAAATGACAAGGGAAAACAAAATGTATCCTCCACTGCTGTTTCTTGGAAAAAATAATAAGCAAAAAAGAATATTGAATTGTACTCAATAAACATTTATTAAGTACTTACTAGGTGTATGGATAATAACATAAAGAGGCCTTTACTTGGCAAAGGGGGAGGCAGAGCTCTTCTGGGCATATGTCTGGCTTCTGATATTCATTAACAAACCATTTCTGAGTGTTTCTATCATAGATGGATTCCTGGGCTAGGCATCTATAAAAATGACTAAGTCTGGTATGCCCTATGGCCTGGGAAGGGACATTTGGACAATATTAAAATCCATCAGTATTGAAGATGGTAGAATAAAGGCAGGAACTCTCCTGAGCTCTCCCCCAAACTCCTCCAAATCCTTTGAAAAAAATGGTTCTAAACAAATTCTAAGCAACAGAACCCACAAAAAGACAGAATGAAACAAATTTCCAGCCCAACACTGAAAGGTTGACAGGAAAAGTCTGTTGTACCAGGCTAAGAAAGGAGTGCAGTCTAGTGCAGGCCATGCCACCACAAACCCGGTCCCAGCAAACCCAGAGCAGGCTTCAGGGGACTGAATCACTGGCAGCAGTGGTGGGTTCCAGACTTCTCAGCCCACAAATGCCAAAGACAATTCAGAAGGTCAATAAGAAAGGTCTGTCAGACCTGGGTGAGAGTGGAGCACAGTCAAGTTCCACCCCAGCACAACCCCTGAGCAGCGACAGCAGCTGCTTCTGAAGCTTTCAGCCCACAGATGGTAAGAAGATCAAAAAACTCATCAGAATGAGATTACAGTGGTCTCTTTGCTAGCAGTGAGGCAGGATTCTGTTGCTTTGCTCATACTTGGATCTGGGTCTCAGTCCTAGTTGGCAGTCCTGGGACAAGGAGGAGTACTAGCATAGCACAGCTTGTGGAAGCAATGGAGAGGGAACCCTCTTCACAGTTCCAGAACAGAAAAGAATGTTTGTGGTCACTCAAGACCAGAGCACAAGTCAGGAGAGGAGTAAACACCCCTTCTTAGATCATTCCACCTTGGAAGAACTAAAAACTTATAGGTCTTTAGAAGTATCACTGAAAACAGCTGCACAAAACCCCTGAAGCTTGGGAAGGTTTGCCCTCCACACTGGAAGCAGAGCTCTATAGAAAATACTCTGACTATAGAAACTTACTTTGGTGCCAAGGAAGATCAAAGCATACACTCAGAAGAAGACAACAAAGTCAAAGCTCCTCCATCCAAAGCTTCCAATGAAAATATGAATTGGTCTCAGGCCATGGAAGAGCTCAAAAAGGATTCTGAAAAGCAAGTAAAAAAGTAGAGGAAAAATTGGGAAGAGAAATGGGAGTGATGCAAGAAAATCACACACAAAAAAATTAGTCAATAGCTTGGTAAAGGAGACACAAAAAAGTACCAAAGAAAATAACACCTTAAAAATAGACTAACCCAACTAATTTAGATATAATGGCTGATACTATAAACAAACTGGGAGAGCAAGGAATAGTTTACCTGTCAGATTTATGAAGAACAGAAGAATTTGTAACCAAAAGAGAGATAGAGAACATTACAAAATGCAAAATGGACAATTTTGATTACATTAAATTCAAAAGTTTTTGCACTAACAAAGCCAATGCAAACAAGATTATGAGGGAAGTAGAAAACTGGGAAAGAATTTTTACAACCAATGTCTCTGATAAGGGCCTCATTTCTAAAATATATAGAGAACTGAGTCAAATTTGTAAGAATTTACAAGTCGTTCTGCTACATTCTATTTCTAAGAATCCACAAGTCATTTACTAAGTCATTCCCCAATTAATTAATGGTCAAAGAATATGAACAGGCAGTTTTCAGATGAAGAAATTAAAACTATGTATAGTCATATGAAAAAATGCTCTAAATCACTATTGATTAGACTTGTGAACTGATCCAGCCATTTTGGAGAGCAATTTGTACCTATGCCCAAAGGGCTATAAAAATGTGCCTACCCTTTGACTCAGCAATAACACTTCTATGGCTGTAGCCCAAAGAGATCATAAAAATGGGAAAAGGACCCACATGTACAAAAATATTTATAGCAGTTCTTTCTGTGGTGGCACAGAATTGGAAATTGAGGGGATGCCCATCAATTGGGGAATGGCTGAACAAGTTGTGGCATATGAATGTGATGGAATACTATTGTGCTACAAGAAATGATGAGCAAGCTGACCTCAGAAAAGCCAAGAAAGACTTGCATGGACTGATGCTGAGTGAAATGAGCAGAACCAGGAGAACATTGTACACTGTAACAGCCACGTTGTGTGATGACTAACTTTGACAGACTTAGCTCTTCTCAGCAATGCAAGGATCTAAGACATCTCCAAAAGTTTCATGATGTAAAATGCTATCCATATCCAGAGAAAGAGCTATGGAGTTTGTGTGTGTATCAAAGTATACTATTTGCTCTTTTTTTTTTCTTCTGTTTCATTTCTTCTCTCTTGTGGTTCCTCCTATTGGTTCTAATTCTTCTTTACAACATGGCTAATGTGAAAATATGTTTAATAAGAATGTGTATGTAGAGCTTATATCAGATTGCATGCCATCTTGGGGAGGGGGAGAAATTTTAAAACTCAAAAGCTTATGGAAGTGACTGTTGAAAACTGAAAATAAATTAATATTTTAAAAAATAGACTAACCCAAATGGCAGAAGAGGTCTGAAAAGCCAATGAGGAAAAGAATGCCTCAAAAAGCAGAATTGGCCAAAAGGAAAAGGAGGTCCAAAAGCTCAATGAAGAAAAGAATTCCTTAAAAATTAGAATAGAGTAAATGGAAGCTAATGGCTCTATAAGAAATCAAGAAATTGTAAAACAAAACCAAAAAAAGAAAAAAAAATAGAAGACAATGTAAAATATCTCATTGGAGAAACAGCTGATGTGAAAAATAGGTCAGGGGAGACAATTTTTAAATTACTGGACTATCTGAAAGCCATGATAAAAAAAAAAAAAGAGCCTAGACATCGTCTTTCAAGAAATGACCAAGGAAAATTGCCCTGACGTTCTAGAACCAGAGGGTAAAATAGAAATTGAAAGAATCCACTGATCACCTTCTGAAAGAGATCCCCAAAGGAAAACTCCCAGGAATATTATAGCCAAATTCCAGAGTTCCCAGGTCAAGGAAAAAATATTGCAGGCAGCCAAAAAGAAGCAATTCAAATATGGTGGAACCACAATCAAGATAGTACAAGATTTAACAGCTTCTACATTAAAGGATCAGAGGGTTTGGAATATGATACTCTAGAGGTTAAAGGAGCTGGGATTAAAACCAAGAATCACCTACGCAGCAGAACTGAGTTTAATCCACGCGCAGAAAAAAAGAAACTGATATTCAAAGAGATAGAGGAATTTATTGCATTCTTGAGAAAAGACCAGAGCCAAACAGAAAATCTGACTTTCAAATACAAGAATCAAGAGAAGCATGAAAAAGTAAACAGGAAGAACAAATCATAAGGGACTTATGAAAGTTAAACTGTTTACATTCCTACATGGAAAGATGATATGTGTAGCTCATAAGATATTTCTCATTATTAGGGTAGCTAGAAGGAGTATATATAGACAGAGGGCACAGGAGTGAGCTGAATATGAAGGGATGATATAAAAAAATAAAATTAAGGGGCAAGAGAAGAATGTACTGGGAGAAAGAAAAGGAGAGATAGAATGGGGTAAATCATCTCATTTAAAGAGGAAAGAAAAAGCTTTTCCGGTGGAAGGGGAAGAGGGGAGAGGTGGAGGGAATGAGTGAATCTTACTCTCATCAGATTTTGATTAAGGAGGGAATAACATACACATTCAATTGGGTATGGACATCTATCTTTCCCTACAGGAAATTAGGAGGCAAGGGGATAAGAGGGAGGAGTGTGATAGAAGGGAGAGCAGATTGGGGGAGGAGGTAATCAGAAGCAAACACTTTTGAGGAGCGAGAGGGTAAAAGGAGATAAAATAGAATAAACAGGGGGCGGGATACGTTAGAGGGAAATATAGTTAATCTTTCACAACATGACTATTACAGAAGGTTTTTGCATGACTACACATGTATAACCTATATCTAATTGCTTGCCTTCTCAATGGGGGGGGGAGGAAGGGAGAGAATTTGAAACTCAAAGTTTTAAAAATGAATGTTAAAAATTGTTTTTAAATGTAACAGAGGACAAATAAAAATGCCAAATCAAAAAAAAAAATCCATCAGTATTAAGGGGTAGCTTGAGTACATTAGATCCACGCATGGCCACACAGCCAATGATGAGAATGACAGGGTAGGAAAACAAATAACAAAATGCCCCATTGCCTAGCCCAAGATTTCTGCTGCTTTAGCCAGAGAATCCTTCTTTTCTTTTCCTTCCTCTTTCAAGGTGCAGGAAATGAATAGTAAACTGCTTCCTCTTTTTTTAATTTCAGAGAAAAAATTGCCACTCACCCAGCCCTTTGTAGGTCTGTACTCTGCTTCAATGAAAGGGATTCCAAGATGATGAACCAGAGACAAAAGGAGAACATAGAAGTTCTCGAACCCCTACATCCTGTTCTCTTCATGCTTGTGAATCCTTTCTGTA